GGGATGATGCATGTCAGTCTTCGTTTGAAACTCTTCGTTCAGCTTTAACAGTTGCACCAATTTTGGCATATCCGAACGTAGATAAGCCGTACAAGTTATATACTGACGCGTCACAAAACGCCATAGGTGCTGCGCTAGTCCAAGAGACTGAATTGGGTGAAAGAGTCATCCAATATTTGTCGCATCAGCTCAACGAAACCCAGCAACGCTGGCCTACTATCGAGCGAGAAGCTTATGCGATTGTATATAGTGTACAAAAGTTCCGTCCCTATTTACTCGGTTGTAAAGTTACGATTATGACGGACCACCAGCCCCTCAAGCACCTGTTCACCAGTGAAATGAAGAATGCTAGGATTCAACGTTGGGCGATTATATTAGATGAGTATGGATGTGATATACAGTATATTAGTGGACGTCAGAATGTAGTTGCAGACGCATTGTCGCGACTGGACACCTCAGGAGAGGATTGTCACACGGATATCCCAGGAAATGGATTAATGACTAGTGAGTCATTACCGTGCCATGTCGACGAATGCGTAGACACATTCGGTGTAAATAATGAATCTTCGTGTCGTGTGAATGTGATTGATTCCGATAGAGCGCCTGACGTTCAAGTAGAGACTGAAGTGAAAAGAAGTGAGTTACCTGAGGCTCCTCCCAAGGAAAAATTCAAAGAGTTTTTACAAGGACACCCCGACCTTGGTTTACTTCAGAGAGAGGATCCCGAGATCCAACAATTGATCAAAGTATTACAGGACCCAAATCATTCGAACCATGCTGTAGTGTCTCGTTATTATATTTTGGAAGACGGTCTACTATATCGAGTTTCTGATCCGTCCAAATACCCCTCATTTCCAGGTTTGCAGTTAGTTATTCCCAAGCCCCTACAGAAACTGATCATCGAAGAAATTCATTCAGGCTATTTCGGCGGGCACTTAGGTATAGATAAAACGTACGACAAGATCCGTTCACGTTATTTTTGGTCCGGTCTATATCGAGACGTTGTTCAGTACTTAAAAACATGTGTCGCCTGCAATATGCGGAAGCTCAGACGCGAGCGACCCCCTCTGCAAGATATGCCAATCCCCAAGTTTCCTTTCGAGCAGATCGCAGTAGATACGTCCGGTCCGTACCCTGAAAGTTTCCAAGGAAACCGGTACATTATTACTGTCATCGATTTATTTTCTGGATGGCCAGAGTCGTTCGCTACCTCATCAAAAAGTGCAGAAACGGTTGCCCAAATTTTATTAGAACATATCATCCCTCGCCATGCTTGTCCTAGGATTATGATTTCCGACAATGGTACAGAGTTTTGTAACGCCGTCATAGACCAAATTACAACTTTTAGCAACATTAAACATATCCGAACTTCCGTTTACCACCCGCAATCGAACGGCAAATGCGAAAGATATAATAGAGTTCAGAACGACATGTTAGCAAAGTTAGTGAGTAAATCTCAACGTGACTGGGACACAAAGCTTCCTTCAATCTTGTCTGCTTATCGCACCGCGAAAAACGAGACTACCAAGTATTCCCCTTTCTTCCTTCTTTACGGTCGTGACCCTGTTCTACCACTCGATAGCATTTTATCTCCAAAATATCGTTACCAAGGTGAAGATTACGTACCTACCATGCTCGAAAACATGCATTCTGCCTACAGTCATGTGCGTCACAACTTAGTACAAAGTCATGAGAGAAACAAATTTTATTACGATCGTACCGCCAAGCCAACGAAAATCAAAGTCGGTGATATGGTTTACTTCAGAAACCCTACAGAGGCGACTCAAAATGCTTCCAAACTGTCGTGCCATTGGAAACCTTTTTACCGCGTTATCAAAGCCATCAACGACGTAACCTTTGTCATTAAGAACCAGCTGTCTGGCGATGTCAAAGTAGTGAACGTTCATAATTTGAGATTCGCTGATCCAGATACCCTTTGGGAAAACGTGACAGAAGAACCACATCATATCAACAGCAAGTACGAAAGTAAACAGAAGTCGTTTATCCCAGTTCCACTTCGTGTGCAGCCTCCACGTCAATCAAAGTTCTCATTCGCTGATACAGAAATGCATAATACTGAAACAGTCACAGATCGGTCTATTCGTGATTCAACCCCCAGTTCGATATCAAACCCTGTTGAAACTTACGCTCCAGCGAAACCGTCGCCGAGTGAACAAAATTACCCACCTTTACCTGAAGATTCTGATTCCGATGCAGATCTTGACGTGCCGTTATCCGAAATGCGAAAACGATGGAGAGAAGAAAAATTGAAAGACAATAGTTCTGACGACGAGAATATTCCTTTGTCCCAATTAGCAAAGCGCCTGAGAACGGAAAAGTTATCTGATCCATTCGAAATTGAACCTACCCCTATGAAAAGACCACTCACCCGTACAGAATCAGAGTCGAACGACATGGATGCAGAAGCGCGTAGCCCTCCTTCAAAATTACAATGTGCCGACCAGGACCACGAATCGGATTCAGACGAATTGGACGCCGATGGTGTACATATTGAAAAGGAGCAAATGTGTACTAACCCACGTGTGAAAGAAGCCCTGTTAGTTAAGATGCTGAAAACGCATGAGAAGTTGATGACCGACATGTTCAAACAATTAGAAAAAATGTAAAAAGGTTCCCCGGCCCACTGAGTTATTACAGGTCGGACGACAGCCGAATGCCTACAGTGTTTTATGGAACCCAGCTAGTACGATGAAGGCTGAACGGCTGTATGGTGTTATAGTGTTTATATAGAATATGGATCCCGGTTTGTATGCCGAAGACAACGTAATCGCGGTACCACGTTGTATTGTGTTTAATGATATACCGACTCTGGCTAGTATGCCACAGCCATTTATGTGTTGTTCATTTTAGGTTCGGTCAGTGAACCGTTCAATTGTTCGTGTACTAACCTCATGTTTGCGAAATGTTGATAGTTGTTTGTGTGTGTTCCAGAGATGTGGGAAAGACCGTTCTTCCTGACATTCCTGTTCTATCTGACATCTCCGACAACGGCCAACGTTCTCTTCCTGCCCCGAGGCCATCTCTACGCTTCATACGACCACTGGACTCTTCACATCCCCATCGAAACCAGGACATCATGGACGTTTGTATTGAAGCTAGAGCATCATGTGAAGCTCTTTAAAAGTAAAGTCAGTAGTATATTTGCAGAGCACCGCCAACAATTGCGAAGTGACCAGGCAATTCAGCTTTTTGCTAAGTTTAACCAGAGCGTAAAAGTTATTAACATTGTAATAGATACTTGGTCAAATGCGGTACTTGTTGATCTTTCGGAAACTAATGTTTCACTCCCCGAAGCAGTAAACTTCATTCCCCCACTTCAGGACAAAAGTGTCCATCTGTCTAACTTGAGGAAACATATTCAGCAGATTCGAGTACGCAATGCTCAGCATAATAAAACTGTCGTTATCCCCGCCATCTCGGTCACAACGTGTATTGTGGTTGCGTTAGTGCTATTAACTGTTCTATACGTCCGATGTCATGTGTTTAAACCCATTATGATCCGACCCCAGAAAGTATCCGCTCAAAATCCTGCCCCTGACAGCGTTATTGTTGAAGAAACGTCAAGTGTAGCTCCAAATATCAAGCCCCGGGAAAAACTCACGGACCCAAGTCCCTCGTGCTTACAATGGTTAAAATCGTCTCCGACCCTCGCTTCTCAGAAATCCGCAGATGTCTGATTCAAATATTTTCCAGAGGAGTTCTTTCTCCGCAGCAGAGGTACCAGTAGCGGCGCTCCCACACTCGGTCGAGCCGCCGCCGGTGCTAGTCAGCGCCACTGAGATCGGGCCGCCCCGCATCGGACACCCCACGTCCGGGCGCCCCGATAAAACTACGCTGACGCGTGGTCTGGTCAGCCCGACACCGAACGGACGACCCACAACAAGACGCGAGACGTGAGAACGTCAATGTGTCAATATCTGACACATCATCTGGCGACAGCGTGTCGACACCTGACACACGATCTGGTGTCAATGGACAATGGACTGACAAACACGTGTCAGACAGCAGCGTCAAAGGTGACCTAAACCCTCTGAACTCTCTGAACTCCCTGAACTGATGTGCCCGGAGCGGAATCTTACCAGTGATTGCGAAGCGAGAACCGAATCGATGAGCACGAGTGGGACAGTAGACTATGTTTCGTAAGCGGACAATGAAGAAGACTCTATAGACTTATAGCTACGAGGACTACAACGAAAAGAACGGGAAATTGTGTGTTGAGGTGCTGTGTATATTGTTGTGTTAGGCGTTGTTTGTGTTGTGTCGTGTGTTGTGTACGTTATATCATGCATCATATTAGGAGTATCCCAAGCCGAAAATTTTGGTCAAAATTTCAGCTTTAAGGACCTCGCGTTGTGTTGTAACGAAATTCGTTCCTACCCCGTCCTCCACCTCCCTCTGTACCTACTTACTGCCCAGCCCCCTCGCCCACTTACAATACCCTTATATGGTCCTCACTCCTCACCTGCGACGCCTGTCCTTGCCCGCTTCTGATTGGTGCTATGATATGACGTACATCTATATGTATGACGTGTGTGTATGACGTTTGAATATAGCGGCCGACGCCGAACGCCGAGCAGGAGCTGTGAAAGATTCATTCGAAAGCCAACCGCCGTAGCGGCCTGACGTATCGTTATTCAAAGTCCCGGCCGACTGTTTATTACTTTTGGATTCTGTCGTCAAATTTGCAATACATACTTGAAGAAAAGAAAACCGTGTTGGTTATACGGCTGAAACAAGAGGTCCCCAAACAGACTATCACAGAAGAAGAAATTGCTTATTTACTTTTTACATTTGTTACAGCATTCTTTATGTATATGTCGTAGCTTCGGCCTTTGCCTGCTCTTGGCTATGATATGATACTTGTACAAGTACAATGTTCCCAAAATGCACGGCTATTAGAAGCCACACTGGCCCACACGGTGTCTCCTCTGCTGGTGTGCCTAATTACAATGTGAAACACGTTTACGATGTATTCTTACCCGTACAATCCGTCGCCGGCCACCGTCCGCCTCAGCTCTCACAAGCAGCAGGGCGGCTGGATCATCGGCGCAGAACACTGGGGCGGGCCCGACCTCCACCCAGCCCATCTCCACCACCGTCTGGTATAGCTGCCGGTTAGGAGACCGACAGGGTCATGTCAGTGGTCAGCTAGTTGTAGTGCTGTATCGACCGACTTGTGTTGAATCGATATTGGTTGAAGCGGGCCACATTCAATATCGTCAATAATGAGGTTAGGTAGGGCTGTGTCGTGCACAATTTGAGGAAACAATGAATAATAAAAGGGGTTCAGCCAGCCCCATGCAGAACCAATGCAGCTGGCAATTACTAGACAGCTTGTCGATGCGCAAGTAGAAATGTTCTTCTCTGTATGACTGAAAAGGCATGCGCTTACTTTTTAAGTTCATCAACATCAAACACTGCAATGCCGTGTCGTGTTCCGCCCCTTCCTCGTCTCGCATTTGCTCCATCAAACCTCACAGCGGTAGTGCTGGTAGCTCACCAATGTGCACCGCCACTCCGGTGATGTGCACAGACTGACGTAGCTGGCGTTCTGACGACGGTTGTACCACGTGATCGACACGTGCGCGTCATCCATCCATCTCACACCTGCTGCGTAAGCAGCTCTGGAAACAGAACAAAACAAAGAATGAAATCTAACAGTTACACCCTATATTCCCACACCCTACACCCTATTCTATAGAGCCTTGGTTACACCTACCCAAGTTAGATTCGTATCATCTTCAATGTTGACTGTTGAGTTCCATGTTTCATATCCATCACCAATGTAACGCGGAGGGCTGATCACGTAATTCACAGACTCACTCACCCACTGCCCAGTTGACGTGGAGGACTGATCACGTGGTTTATCATCTGTTGCGGTCGGGAGACCTCGACCACGGTGACACGCAGGGTCGGATTAACGTCTCCAGCCTGGCGATAGTCAGAGTCAGGCTCACGCTGACCTTGTACAGTGACTCCAGAGATATGTGAGCACCCTCTATATCGTCAAAATTTGTTTTATAGCCGATGGTTTTTAATTGCTAGCGTACAGTACTGTGTTTGTGCAAACATTATGGTTTTTACAGCAGTCCAGAGGGCAGAGGCCTATTATAGGTAGGCCTTATAATGTATGCCTCCCATAGTCAGTGTCTATTGAACAACAAAGATAGCGTCCCTTTAGATTGGTCTCATGCATCGACATGCACCATGAACTCAATAACAAGCGGCGTAAGTACACTTTCTCAGCCTGCGGTAGCCGGAATCGTCTAATGCATGAACTCACCCTGGGGCAGGATACCGTGTACACGGAGGGTGGTGTACCGGCGGTGGTACCGTACACCGCGTACGGCCAGCCGCGTACCGCCCCGGCGTCCACACTGAGGTACAAAATGTGACTCCCGCCCGGCGAGGGCCACGACGCCACCGTCGAGCCCAGTATGTGGTCTGAAATGAAAAAAAAACTACGAAAACTGTCGGGAAATCGCAGCAAAACTAAAGGCCGGAGGACAGCAATAAGAGCAAAGGCTGATGTGTTCTTTCAGGTAATATTCATTACCTCAGGAGGAAAAGAAGATGAACGACCCATTAGCGTAGAACGTGAATCCTTTTCATAACAACCCGGCCAGTGTATACTGCCTGACTAACTTAGCACATTAATGATTCTTCCATCCTGTTCAGTGCAGTTGCATTAACATTCTGGCCTCCCTTCCCAGAAAGGTGAACGACCCATTTGCGTAGCTTGTGAATTCCTTAACCCGCGCACCGACGGGTCTGCGCCAACTTCGCACCGACGGGAGGGGAGGGGGGGGGGCGGATGACCGCCCCCCCCCCCTGAGATCTCGAGAACGAAGCAAGATAGCGACAAGTGGTAAACGGCATCGGATACGCACGGTCAAGATCTACAATTTTACAAAGGTCATTTTCAGGTCAGGACAAAGATGACGTCACAGGGGTCGAAAAAGTCAAAATGGCGGCGCTAGATATGGATAGAGTTTTTCTCGAATAACTTTCGAATTAGTCAAGATAGGAACAAACTAAGGGCATCATCGTGATCTTCTCGTCAATCCGCATCGAATGATATATACGTTGACCTCGAAAGGTCAAGGTCAAAGGTTGACCTCAGGTCACGTGACCGCGAGGTCATCATGTATATCATTCGATGCGTCTTGACGAGCTGAACACAATGAGACCATCCACGCGGCTGTATCTTGTTCCTGTACGGAGTTATTGGCCAAAAACCTTTGGTGACCTTTGATGACGTCACATGACCTCACAGCTGCCCAACAGCAAAACAGACCTCAAGGTAGTGAAGATTGATCGTATATGAAGTCATGTATGGTATATGGGGCCATTCCGACCCGTTTTAGTGGTAAAAACAGGGAGTTGATTTTTCCCCCATTGACATAATGGGGAGGTCGCGAAATTGACCTGACCTTAGGTCACCGATATCAAAATTCCGAGATATACAAATTGTAGCTACTAATGACCTAATAACATCCTGCGACTTTCAAAGGCCTCCGACATCTACTGTAGCTCTGGCACGGTGACAAAGTTGCAAAAAAGTGACTTGAGGTTGGGTCACTCAAAGTGACCTGGTGACCTGACCTTAAAAGGTAGGAGGTTCAAACTTGCACACCATGTGTAAAATTGATGAGGGAATAGTCATACCAAATTTCCGCGGTTTTCCCGCTATTCGCCAAAAACCTCAGGGGGGCGGATATCCGCCCCCCCCCCGCCGTCGGTGCGCGGGTTAATACCAGCCAAAACCAAAAGATCTTGAGTGAAAGACACAGATCCACATAGGTATAGGTATATTTCCCTAGAACCCCGCTGTCGCAGAGTGTAGGATAGTCAGTGGCGTGCGCCCGTTTCCAATTCTCTCTCTCTCTCTCTCTCTCTCTCTCTCTCTCTCTCTCTCTCTCTCTCTCTCTCTCTCTCTCTCTCTCTCTCTCTCTCTCTCTCTCTCTCTCTCTCTCCTCTCTCTCTCTCTCTCTCTCTCTCTCTCTCTCTCTCTCTCTCTCTCTCTCTCTCTCTCTCTCCTCTCTCTCTCTCTCTCTCTCTCTCTCTCTCTCTCTCTCTCTCTCTCTCCTTTCCATGGTAACCCGCCCACCTGTGTGGAGCGGGTCGCTGACGCCGTGGAACAGGTCCGGCCGACCGTCGGTGGTGATGGGGTACGTCTCCGAGCCGTCAGCTCGCGGTAGGTAGTAGAGGTTGTTCTCTTTGGCTACCAGGAGAGCCGAGCGCAGCTGGTCGCCGGCGCCAGCCGGCATCCACAGAGCGAACTGAACAGTAGGGTGACCACCGTCGGAACCGATGCGCAGAGGAGCACTGTAGCTGAGGGAAAACAACAAACGATAGCTAGGGAGGGGGCTGTATGTGAACCTTCCCGACGTCACTCAATCGGTAACATCAGAACTAATAACGGACAAATGTCTGTTACCAAAATCAACGAAAGCGATCTAAGCGTTTAGTTTGCATGATACCGTGAAATCAATTAGATCGTTTTCTTACTTAAAAAAACAACAACAACAGAAACTGCTGACTTTTCCGTCTTCAATTCATTACAGGTTAGACAAATAAACATTCATAGTCATACGATACGACTGTCGTAAAAATTACGTATAGTCTGTTTGATAGATACCAATATACCAATGGTTGCTTTTGTATGTAGCTTCCAAGGCAACCAAAGGGGTAATTTAGACTTAATAATATACTTACCCTGTTTCCACTCCCCATATCCAATATTTGGTGCCATGATCGGTACCAGAGCCCTGACAGCAATGTAAAATGTCGTCAGTGCCATTGCCATCGACAAGACATAAAAATCGGTCATTGGTCATGAAAAGATAAAGTTGAGTTAGTTTTCATACGCCAGTAACATGATCAGTAAACATTCATACTAATCATAGTATTTGCTTAAAAAAAAACGCTTTGATTGATAAGCAATGCGGTTAAATCCACGCCATGTTATTGCGAGAAAAATACATCGAATGACAAGCACGGTAACACATAGTCATGCAAAAACGCCGTCCAAGGGACGTTTTTCTCCATCGATCAAAACAGCAAAAGGTTTTTATCACACTTGTTGCAATCATCTCACAGCGATATGAATCAGTCTATTCTTATGTGTAGCCTGGTATACCTATCATATAATAACTTTATTTTTTTCATTTGATTCAAACCATTACCTTGGCACGGCTTTTGGAGAGAAGAACGAATCTCAGATCTGGAGAAACTTGAAATTCGTCTGCATTTGTCTGTATCTGAAATATTAACAACAAATTGACCAACGAAGGCAGCTATCATCGACTGAAATCGCCTGGTGATAATCACATTGGCATTAGATACTCGTTGGAAGGGCACTGGGGATGCCGGACAACTGATAAAACTTCAAGAGACAATAATGTGGTTAAAGGGACTGTCCCACCTTTAACATGGGGTTTGAGTTGAGATAGCCAAGTTTGCGGCGAGGTTCAGAAACCACTATCTATCTAGGTTGCAACCCCCGCGGCCTCTTGGTGTTTAAGAAATTCGTTCCCTTCATTTGAAAATGGGCCTTGTGCAAGGCCCTATCTTCAACATGGAGCGACCGTTAGTGTGACGTCACCTCGTTTAGTCATTCTTATTTAAATGGGTTTGTTCGTTGAAAAATCGCTTAAAACTTGGTCTGCACTTTGTTGTGGTGCCTACAGAGTAAAAAGAATCAGCTTTATGACAGTAATGTGGCCTGGGGAAGGAGGTAATTTTGGGCTGTGACGTCACATATTTGAAAGTTTGTGTTTGGAATATGGGAAGCCTAAGATGTTTAATGAAAAATAAATGCCCGAACCGTGTTCCTAGTCATCCAATCTATGAAGTCGGGCACAATTTAACTGGTTTTAACAACATTTTAGAAGGTGGGATAGCCCCTTTAAGGACAAATAACAAGTAGCGTAGGTAATCGTTCACGTATACGAACCATTGTGCTGTTACTGACGAGCGTGCGAGTGTGATGCGTTCGCGCATTGAAGACAGAGACTCCACCGTGGTCGTCCCTGAATATCAACTGATCTGAAAAAAGAAATAAAAAGAAGACTTTATCTGTTTACATTTTTAACTGTTGTTAAAAAAAAAAATATCTTTTTCAGACTAAGACAGATCACAAGAACTTATCGCTTCCTTCCTTATCCGGCCATTTCTGCTCGTTAGAAATACATTATCATCCTTTCACGAAATAAATCAAACGCGCGTAGCTATTGTGAGTGAACAACAAGCACATCGTGCATCGTACATCGTGCACATCGTTATGAACACAGAGAGTACATCCATTTGTCCACAGCCATTTGCATACCTGCAATCCATTTGCCGGCAAATGGTGGCACGATGTAAGTCCCTTTAGTGATATCGTCCAGTGTCACTAAATGACCACTTATTCTAAAAAGGAGGAAATGTGTCATTAGCTGTTCCCAACTTGCTGACAAAATGCAATGCAAGATAACTTTAAGTTTAATAAACGAATAGTCTAGTATGTAATTTTACCATTTTCTGACTGTAAACGTTATGTAACGTAAAACATTCCATATATTTCCTCATTATTATAACATGTCTTCGTCTTCATTCGTACATCTTCGAAGCCTGTGCATTGCGCACTGTGCAGCCGAGAGAGAGAGAGAGAGAGAGAGAGAGAGAGAGAGAGAGAGAGAGAGAGAGAGAGAGAGAGAGAGAGAGAGAGAGAGAGAGAGAGAGAGAGAGAGAGAGAGAGAGAGAGAGAGAGAGAGAGAGAGAGGGAGGGAGGGAGGGAGTGAGGGAGAGTGGGAGGGCTAGTTCAGTGCGCTCAAGGTCAAACGCTGACCTGGGGTCGAGATCGTCCGGCGTCAGCAGGATGATGCAGGTGACAATGAGGGAGCTGATGGCACCTATCACCAGCAGCGAGATCAGGATACCCGGCCAGTTTCTGCTGCTCGGTGCGGTCGCTACCAGGTCCTGAAAAATGACAACGGATGAGCATTGGTGCCCACACTGCGGAAATGATGTGTTGTAAATGCCTTTGTAGCTTGGCATACAATGTTGTCACAAATGGCCACAATCGGCACTAGACAAGTTTCCAATAAATTTTCATTGGATCTCATAATAAGCCATGGTGTCAAAAAGTGCGGGCGTTTTATGCGAATTTAAGATCAATCCCAAACATATAACCAACTGTTATCTTCTTTTTTATTAAGCTTAAATTCGCATAAAACGTCCAGGAAACCCCTGATTTACTTAGACGGCCCGAATACTAATTTTACATGGCGTCATTCCGCTTTATCCTTGATGAAGACACAGATATAAGGCCCTCATGATGAGGACGTTAATATCGGACGGTGATTCAGCTGACATATTGAGTGAAGACACAAGTATGTATGTACAGGTGGCGGCGCCATGATAGTGATGGGATCAGCCAAGTTCACGGCATCCGTTGATGTCGTCAGGTATCATGTGAGCCTCACTGTGAGGCTGGTACCTGAGGTCAATGGTTTAGCCCGTGACTCACGAGTCATTGGTTTAGCTCGTGACTCATGAGGTCATTAGAAGCCATGATTTTAGAAAAGGTCACAGGGTAAGCTGGTTAAGTCAGCAAAGGTCACAGAGTCAGCTGGCGAGGCCAGCAAAAGTCACGGGTTTAGCTATTGAGGTCACTTGCAGGTCACAAGGTCAGCTGGTGAGGCCATCACAGGTGACTGGGTTAGCTGGTTAGGTCAGCAAAGGTCACAAGGTCAGCTGGTGAGGTCCGAAAAGTTCACAGGGTCAGCTCTGTACAGCGGCCAGCGTCACGCGACTGCTGTCTGGACTGTAACGAATCGATCCGGGCGCCGCTAATGTGGCATGCAATACGAGACAGGAACTGCTAGCATGAAAAGGGTTTCCAATCGATGCTAGACCTGCCTGCTCATAATAGGATTACTTATGCCAGCTTAACTGTACGTCACATTAGATTGTCACTACATTTAATATGCATAGCATCAGGAAAATGTCGTTCAGGCGTGAGTATAGATCGTGATTCGTGATCGTTCTAATAGTGATCGCTAATGTATGTTGAAAGCCGTGTGCGTAAGTGCACGAGCCGCGCATGACAAATTAACCTTCGCCCCAGTGGGGGGGGGGGGGGAATATGTTACCACCCTGTCGCGTTTTTTTTTTTGCGTGTGAATAATAAAAAAACGCGGCGCGTATAGCGCCGCGCCGCTTGGAGTAGCTTTCTGTATATCAATTTTAGACAATGTGTGAAATTTTTGACCCCAGGTCATGTCAGGTCAGGTCACCAGGTCAAGTTAACTGACCAAGCCTAAAAAAGTTTGCAATCATGTCCAGCCTACAGTGTTTGTCAGAAAGGTTTTAAGCTTGCTGGATTGCATGATGTTATGGGCGCCTATAATTTGTACATCTCGGATTTTTTATATCCGTGACCTAAGGTCAGGCCAGTGGCGTGACCTTACCATTATAAGCCAATGGAGAAAAATGAAAATGCCAATAGATCCGTGTGTACGCATAGGAAGAGTCCAAATATTTCAGAATCACAATGATTTGGACCATCCGTGACGACCAAGGTGTCTTTTTTGCTGATAGCCTCTAGAAAGGTCATCCAAGATCATTTGAGGCTACAAATAGATTTTTGCCAATAACACTTCATTGGAAAGAGATAGGACGCTGGGGATGGCCTCATTGTGTTTGTCTAGTTGAGACGCATCGACTGATATGCAACATGACCTTTTCCGGTCAGGGCATGACCTTGACCTGAGGTCAAATTTTTAACACGCGCAGTGGAAGGGTTGCGAGTACTACGCCCAGTGGAAGGGGGGCGGATGTCGCCCCCCCTAAGATCTCAGCTCCCACTGGACCTAGAAAAACGAAATTTGGAGGGTAGGTGGGGGCCATGGGGAACTCTGTTGTGTGTGAATTTCATGACCTTAGGTCAATATCTTCAAGGTCAAATGAGGTCAAATGTGGTCAAATCTGCCATATTAGCGACTTTTTTTGCGTTTACACGCCGATAACTCAAAAAGTTACCGGCCGATTTTTTTAAAATCTTTCACTATACGAAAGAACAAACATTTGTGAGTATTTATGGAGAATTTCTAGATAATCCAACAATAAATATGGCAGTTAGAAGCCTGCTAAGGGTAAGATGTCGCCGGCTGAAGCGGCATCGGCCGACGCGGGAAACGCGGCAATCACAATTTTGTGTTTACACACTCATAACTCAAGTTGTTACCGGCCGATTTTCAAAATTCTTTGATCATATGATTGCCTGTACATTTCTCAGTCTTCTCACCGAATTTGACGCGAATCTAATATAATCAGCGGTAAGGAGCGCGATGTAAAGACGGAACCGTCCCGCCCCGGCACAGTCTACAATTCAGGCGGCGCGTAACGGCTAGCGCCGGCCGCCGCGCCGCGGCGCCGCCGCGGCAGCAGGATGTTTGACTTTACACCGCTATTATTAGAAAAGTTGTGAACCGATTTTCTTACTTATTGCACGAGAAGATCTGCAATTCAATTTTGGACAGGTAGCCGAAATTTCACATTGATATTATGCTTGCGGCGCGAGTTATTGGCGAAAAACAGGAGGGGTGGGCGAAATCCGCCCCCCTTCCACTGCGCGTGTTAAGTTGACCTTTCAAGATAAAATTATGTTTCATTCAACCGCTTTGAATAGAGGCCTCCCATTAGCTGTTAGCTGCTCAGTGTTCATGCTCTGTCACCGTCAATGGTCGGATGGTCGCAATGTGCATTCCTCGATACCCTCTAGTGAAATAAAACTATATTTATGTTGCCCATTACCAGGCCAACGCACAGCAAAGCCCTGCAAAGCTATAGTCACGCTTGACGTCAACTGCATGTAACTCAAGCCGACGGTACGAGCTGATGCCTAATCGAATGTGTTTACCTAATTACATTGGAAATGAGGTATGAGACAATCATGTGTATGAGACTGAGTATTGTGCAGGTTTTACACAGTTCATTAGTATGGCATCAGCTACGATATAGTATGCACGCTGCAAATAGGTTGCAGATAACTAGTTGGATGTTTCGTGTCCCAGATCAGCCCAGAGTACTCACATCGTCATCGTAGCAACGTTTGTTCCTTCGTCCATGAGCTCCACCATTGGAGGTCTGCATTGAGTTCATAGCCAGGTGTGTCTTGAAATTGAAAGTCAGATTGAGATAAATATCTGCATGTTTAATTCTTTTATTTTTTCCTATGAGCCCGTGTTCATACGACGCCAAGTCGTCATGCCCAATGAATCAAATGGATGAAAAATGGTTCCAAAAGACTTGAGCTATTACCGACGGTTCGATTCGACGTAATGCTAAAAAGACTCTGTATGGATATCCCTCTATTTGCTGATATTAAGTCCTTCACACATTTTCGTTTAAGCCCATATCAAATCCGCTCACGAAAATCACGTGGCACACGACCCCTCTTTATCGACTCTCGTCACCCTACGACAAACACTTGTCACTGCATTGCTCCCACTGTACCACACCCCACACTGCAGCACTCCCCTCGGACCAGTCGGAGGACCACCGACTGACCCTGCAGTCGGGAGGTGAGGGGCGGCGCCGCGAAATCAGACAGCTGACCCGCCCACCTTCACTCGGCCCACCAGTATCCAGAAATCAACCTTCTGTCAGCGACGGCACCGATCGAAACGTTCCCCGCAGGTCTGTTCACTGAGACGTCGAAAAAATGGTAACGTCCCCTTTCCGTATGGCTAGGGACATAAATGCCACTTTAAGATAGGTATATCATTTGTAAAGTTTATGTTATTTCAGCCGTGCACTGATCCCCACCCTCACCCCCTCCATGTCCACAACACTGGAGTAAATGCTCCATTTCCATAGCCATGGCGCAAGGGACTTCGCAGTTGATGTTAACGCACCCTGAGCCCTACAGATGGCTGAGGTACGCGCCTAATGGCTGTTCGATCGGGTTCTGCGTTCCCAGAAGGAACAGGCAGGTAAATGGACTGACATCCAGCTAACGTGTGACAGCCGTGAGCCGGACGACTCAGCCCTCAACGAACTGACGGTGCGTCTCGAAGTGCTTTGATGCACTTGTATAGGCGATGTTTTGTCGCAGCCTTCTACTATTGCGGCATGCGGGGAACTGTATAACGAGTGTACACTCGTGATGTCGGAGCTATCTTCTATAGCGAGCGAATGTATAGCGTCGTGCACTCGCTGTTTTGTCGGAGCCATCTTCTATAATGACGGGGAAGCTGCAACGTCTCTGAAATCTCTGTCTTGCTGGGCTTAGGATGTCTTCCTGTACGTGAAAAGGTCGCAAATGGTCGGCACTGGAGACCTGTAACCAGAGACGCGAATCGATTCCGTCCTAGCTGCCATCCAAGAATGCTGGTCTCTAGTGTATCGAGCCAGCCAATATGCTGCGTTTTTTCTTCTTCTCGGTCTTGAGTTGTTGAAAGGCACGTACTGCTACAAACGTCAAACATCCTCGTTATTTGTAAATGGCTTTACATGGTATGGTATACAGTTAACAGCGTCCTGCGCAGATTGAAGCTACAGAGCGCTAATCTGTCAGAAACCAGATAGGCCTCCGAAGTAGAGCGCGACTCGATGTACGTACCTATATTGGCTAGACAGTTGAAACGCACGTCTATCGGAATTGGGTGTGTGAATTGCACGGCATACAATGTTCTTGCTCAACCAACGGCAGTATAACCACTAGCCCTTGACTTCCATATATTTCACATGAAGTTCAAAGTAAGGGGATCACATGACGGATTCCTGACCTTGATATCCTTGGACTTCGAACCGGGGCATGAGATCAGACATAGCCCTGTCGGTTTGTTTTGTTATGTAGGCCGTTTCGGTCTTGTGAGACCTTTTCAGAACCGGAGGGATGGATGATATGAATTACGGATGACATTAGTCTGGGCGGGTACCCTAGTGCGCCACCGGGGCTGAGGCTGATGCCGAAC